TCACCTGGCAGGCATCTCTGGTCAATTTCGCCTCCTCTACATCTCTGGTCAATTTCACCGCCCTTGCTCTCTCTCTCTTTCAAAAACACCCCTTTTTCTCTGCTCTGACCCTGCGGTGGAGGTGGGGGGAAGAGGCATCCCCGCTGCGGACCTTCTTCACCTCAAGCCTGGACTGTTGCTGTAGCTGCTGCTGGTGAGGGTTGGGGGTGCGGGGGGGGGGGGGCGGGCTCGGTGTCTTCCTGCCTCAAGCCTTTCCCCATTCAGCCACTAAATAATTTTCCTAAAATGTGGGTCTGAGCATGTCACGTTCCTGTTCCATAAACTGCAGTGGTTTCCTCTCGCCCCTGGGAAAAAAATACCAAATGCTCCGCTTGGCACTCAAGCCCTTTGTCAAACCTGTTCCCCCCTCCCCTTCCTTTCTAATCTTCTCACACCTCACTGCTGACTCGTCTTCTTCGATCCAGTGACCGAGGCCTCCTGGCTGTTCCAAGAACCAGTTCCTCCTTCTCTCCGTCTCGCCATTCTCTCCGGCTGTCCTCCATGCCTGGAAAGCCCTCCTTCCTTTCGGAGGACTCCTGATCTCCCTGGTTTCCTTCAAGCCCACCTTCTGGAAGTCTTAGCCAACCCCCGTAATTCCAGTGCCTTCCTTCCCTTCTCTTCTTTCCCATTTGTCCTATCTTTGCTTGCTTTGTACCTAACTGTTGCGTGGGCTTCCTCTGTTAGATTGTGACCTCCTTGAGGGTAGGGCTGTCTTATGCCTTGTTTTGTATCTAGGGAGCTTCTCACTCTTCATTGAATTGAATTTGGCTAGCAGCCCACGGTGGGCTGATTGAACGGACCCCCCAGGGCATTTGCTTTGGCTCTGGCTTTGCCTGGGTCGTACCTTATGCTTCACCCTTAGCTTCCGGCCCCCCTTAGTCACTAAGACAGATTGGTTTCATCAGCGTCTCCCACACTCGGGTCTTGCAGGCATACGCCCCTGCCCCGCCCCCTTCTTGGCCCAATCACAGGTGCTCACTTAGCACTTCTCTGGGGCCCTAAGTGCAGCTCCCGGGCTGTTTCCCTGCCTCTTTGTTCTCTGCTGTGGGACTGGGAAGCTTCTGGGTGCAGCCTGTCCTAGCCCCTTCCTCCCCTCCCTCCTTCCTTCCTTCTCCCTCCCCTCATCTCTTGTCCCTCCTTCTTCTTTCTCTCTCCCCGTTTCTCCCTTTCCCCTCCCCTTCCCCTGCTCTCTTTCTCCCCTCCTCTCCTTCCTTCTCCTCTCCCTCCCCTCTCCTCCCTTTCCTTCTCTCCTTCTCCTTCCCCTTCCCTCTCTTTCCCACTCCTCACCAACTCTACCCTTCCCCTGCTGTCTCCCTCCCCTTTCCTTCCTTCTCCTCTCCTCTCCCCCTCCCTCATTTCCCCTCTCCTTCCCTCCTCTCCTCTTCCTTCCTTCTCTCCCCCTTCCCTTCTTGTCCGCTCCCCTCCCCAGTATCCTCCCCTCAGAAATGGCTGAGTTGGATTGGTTGGACCCCTCCCCAGACTTAGGGCAGAGGACTGTGCCCAAGGTGGCTCCTGGAGGCACCGAGGATGCCTCCTCTTTCCTTGGCTGCCATGCATGGATTGTGCTGGGCTGTAGGGGAGGCATGGGAGGGCTGGTGCCAGGACGCATGGGCAGGGTGGAGGCGCAGACCGGAGCCCTCGGGAAGAGAGGAGGGGACAAGCATTTATGTGACACCTCCGGAGTACCAGGGATACAAAGGCAGATGGCGCTGACCATGCACTCAGCCCCTCTGCCAAACAGCTTACACAACAACCCTGCAGAGCTGGTGCTGGTTTTACATATGTCCATATTACGGTTGGGCACAATGAGGCACACAAAGGCGTGACTCGCCCAGGGTCACCCAGGTGGTTAAGGAGCCAAGGCCTCCTGACTCCAGCTGTCGTGGGACCCCATGGTCTTGAGTGGAAGCGACGTGTGCCGGCGAAGGGAGGGTAGGCGCAGGGTGGCTCAGAGAGCCTCTGTGGCTCCAGACTTCCTGTTCACTGGTGGCCTGGCCCGGAGCTGGTGATGCATGGCCCGCTGCAGCCAGCTCCTGCTCTGGGGTCTCCAGCCTGTGTCCCCCAGTCTGGGCAGGTGGCACCATGGACCCTGGTCAGGGATGGGGGGAGGAGGAGAGTGTAGACCAGCCTTGTTTCCAGAAGCCAGGACTGGCAGACACTGGGGACCGAGCCTCACCCCGTGTCTGATTTCCCCCCTCAGCTACAGAAGCACTTTGGGTTTGAGTACCAGACGCAGGTCGATGGGGAGATCCTCCTCCATCTTTACAACAGAGGTGGCATCGAGCAGACGGCCCCCATGCTGGACGGTGTGTTCGCCTTCATCCTGCTGGACACTGCCAACCGCAAGGTGTTCCTGGGCAGGGACACGTTCGGCGTCCGACCGCTGTTTAAAGTGCTGACGGATGAAGGATTTCTGGCCGTGTGCTCAGAAGCCAAAGGTAGAATTGGGACGCGGAAATGATGGCGGCCTGGATCTGGTCATTTAGCTCATGGACGTGAGCATGTGCGTGCATGCCTGCATGAGCCTGCATGTATGTGTGCATGTGCGTGCTTTGTACACGTATGTGTGCGCATGGGGAGAGGGTCTGATATGCCCCATTTGAGGGAGGGCCCACTAGGCCCCCTCAGAGGGTACAGGAAGGTAGGTGCCCAGATGCCACCAGCCACGTTCCTCAAGGCAAGGCTGACACCCGGAGCCTCCCAGTGTGGCCCAGGCCGGACGTGGGCTCTCTTGGCCCCTCAGATCCCCGTGAACCCAGGGTGGGGCCGTCCTGCGCTCACCCCTTATTAGCTAGTCCAGAGAACCGGGATCAGAGGCAGCTCGGTGGCTCAGTGGGCAGCGTTCAGCGTTTGGGACAAATCAAAGGATTTGACACCTCAAGTTTAGTGGGTCTGAGTGTCTTCTGTTTACACTTGGAGCAGGTGGGCTGAAGGTGTGGGCCTGGCCCATCCAGCTCAGCGAGGGTCCTGACTGCCAGACCTCTGGGGGGGGGTGTCCTGACCACTGGACCTCTAGGAAGAGGGGTTCTGACCGTCAGACCTCAGGGGGGTTTCCTGACCACTGGACTTCTGGGAGGGGGAAGGGGCGTTCTGACTGTCAGACCTCTGGGGGAGGTGTCCTGACTGCCGGACCTGGGGGGTGGGGGTGGTCCTTTCTTGTCAGGTATCACTCTGTTCAGCTGTGTGAGTCTGAACAAGGCCTAGGTGTGGCCCCACCAGCCTGGCCCCTGCTGGCACAAGCCTCTTCCTCCATGAAGAGAGTGCATGCATTCAGGTGCCACCTTATAGTGGGCGTGGGTTCCAGGAGTCCCACTGCCCTCTGTTCTGTCAGGCCACAGTGGGTCCTCTAGCTCTGGGAGTGTCATTTCAGGAAGGGCACCACGGGGAAGCTGGCACATCTAGGGCAGGGCTCCCCAGTGTGTCCAGGGGTGACCCTGGGCCAGATGCTGCTGCTTTCAGGACCTTCCCATTCCGAGGGCCCGGGGCTGGCCCTGGCCCAGGGTAGGCAGGAGCCTTGCTGGGTGTGAAGGCTATAGCCATGTAACCCACCCAGACCAAATAAATGTGCGGCCTTCACTGGCACAAGAAAGGCAGAGCCCGCTGGTCTTGGCAGGCACCGTGTGTTCCAAACCCAGAGCAGGAGCACAGGGTCCCTTGGCTTGGCTCCTGGCCAGAAGGGGCAGCAGCCTCGGGCCGATGGGCCCATAGCCCCATAAATCCAAATGAAAACCTAATGAGGGGGAGCTTCCTGCCCCCCCCACCGCCCCACTCCAGTGTCTGGGGCACCTGCTGCCTGGAGCTGAGGCCCACAGGACTTGGCATGGACAACTCCAGGCAGACAGCCAGCTCTGGTGGCCCGTATCAGCAGGGGCCATGTGGTGTTGGGATGGGGTAGGAGGAGCAGGTGTGGCCTTCTTACCCTGGCTGGGGGGCCCCGTGAGGGCAGGCCACCCAGGACGTGGCAGGGGGAGGCTGCTCTGGATCAAGCGTGGTTCCATACCACCCCTGTCCTGCCTCTGAAGGGTTGCTTCATCTCACCGATGAGTAAACTGAGGCTTGGGGGGGTCGTGACATGCCCGTGAGAGCAGCAGGGTCAGGCTTTATGCCCAGTGCTCTGACTCCCCGCCCCGCTAGCTGGGGTCGATGTCCGCCATCCCTCTCCCTCTCCCTGCGATACTGAGGGGAAAGCCGCGGAGGCGCAGAGTAGGGGAGAGCCTTGCCTGGGGCCCAGGGCCAGCAAGCCACAGAGCCAGGATTCGCATGTGGCTCCTCTGGTTCACACGTGTCCCTTGGTGGGGTGTCACACTTTGTAAGTGAGGAAACAGAGACAGAGAGAGCTTGGGGAGCACCACCAAAGTCACACCAGATAGTTAGTGGCTGAGCCCGGCCGGGCTTGCCAGCATCTTGGTGCAGGGATTTGGGGTCCTGCTCAGCTAGAAGAGTCCTCAGAGGTCATCGAACCATTTGACTGATGGGGAAACTGAGGCTCGGAGAGGGTACCAGCTTGTCGGTGTCAGTGTTTTCTGGTTTCGAGCCCAGCTCTCTCCACTCCCTTCTGTGGCCTCTGGCTTGAGCTGGGAGCCCATTGTGCCTAGGGCTGTGGGCATTAGGGTTCCCTGGCCCCGAGTCTCACCTGCAGAGCTGCCATAGCAGAGCTTTGTCCGAGCCTGGGCCCTGTGGTGGCCATCTTTATGCTGGGGGCCGTGCTCCTACCGTCTGAAGGTCCCGGCTTTCCGGGCCTTTGGGATCTGGGCTGCTGAGGGTGGTCCAAGGAGCACTCAGTGCGCCCCACTACATGCCAGGGGGGCGGGCTAAACATCAATGCCACCTGCCTGCTGCTGTCCCAGGGTGCCGGCACGGAGGCACAGTGGTGCGCGCTCCGAGAGTCGGGCGGCAGGGCCAGGACATCGCAGGCATGTCCATCCTTCCGTATCCCTGCACCCGCAGGCCTGGTCGACCTGAAGCACCCCACGGCTCCCCACCTTCAGATCGACCCCTTCCCTCCCGGCCATTATGAAGTCCTGGACCTGAAGACCAGTGGGAAGGTGGCATCTGTGGAGATGGTGAAGTTTCACAGCTGCAAGGACCTGCCCCTCCACACCCTCTATGACCCGCTGGAGAAGCTGTCCTCAGGTAACTGAGGCAGCCTGGGGAGGGGGACTGAGCACGGCCCCTGTGGGGGAGGGGGGGGGCTAGGCACGGCCCCTGAGGGGGGGGGGGAGGGGGCTGGGCGTGGCCCCGCGGGGGGGGGGGACCGGGGGCTGGGTGCGGCCCCTCTGGGGGAAGGGGCTGCCACCCTTCTGCCCTGTTCCCAGGCTTTGATCTCCAAGTGGTGAAGGGTAACATCAGACTGCTCTTTGACCACGCCGTGCGGAAGCGCTTGATGACTGACCGCAGGATCGGCTGCCTCCTGTCAGGTGAAGAGCAGGGGAGGGGAGGGCTGCGGGGAGAGGCACGCTGATGGGGGGCCGCCGGGCGGAGCTGACCTGGTGCAGAGCTGACCTGGTGCGGCTGGGGCCGAAGGCCGGACCCTGCCGCCAGCGCCCAGGCTGCTGTGGGCAGAGCCGGTCTCTGCCTCCCCCTCCCCCTCCCCCCAGAGGAGCTCCCGGGGCAGCCCCCCACCCCCCAGCATCTCCACTGGGTTAGTGCAGGACCTGCTCGGGTCTCCCTGAAGCCAGTCTCTCCCTGGATGCTGGTGGCTGCCAAACTGACCTTCCCAAAGCGCGAGTCTGACCCCGGGGGCTCAACAAGCATCTTCCCGCTGCCTTTCACTTAGAAGCTGGCTCCTCTCCTTGTGGCTTGAAGCCTTTGGCAGCCTGGCTCCAGCCAGGGCCAGGGCTCTGGGGAAAGCACAAATCCCTTCTCAGAATAAGGCCTTAAATGTGCAAAGTGAAAAGCATTTCCCGCTGAAAACTGACTGGAGCAGACCGAGCCCCACCCCCGCCGGGCCTCCTGCCTCCTGTGGCTTCCCTCCTAACCTCCTTTGCACCTTCCTCAGAAAGCTGACCCCAAGTCTTCTCCATCCCGTGGCTTCCCACAGGCAGACTGACAGACCTGCGCTCTCCTTTTCATCATTTCCTATGTTTGTGTGCTTGGTTCCCCCATTTGACAGGGAGCTCCCTGAGGGCAGGGAGCAGCTTTTGCTCACTTTCTGCTTAGAGCACTTCTCCGAACATAGTAGGCGCTTAGTACATGCTTCTCTGAGGGAGGCTCTGGCCCGCCCCGCTCTTCTGCTCTGTGCTTTTCCCTCTGTGGCTCTGCCCCAGTCCCTCCCATCTCTGTCCCCTCTGGGCCCTCCCCTCCCCCACCTCATTCCCACAGTCGGCCAGCTCATCACTCATGCTCACTTCCTCAGGTGGTCTGGATTCTAGCTTGGTGGCCGCCACGCTCCTGAAGCAGCTGAAGGAAGCAGGAGTCTCCTACCCACTCCAGACATTCGCCATCGGCATGGAAGACAGCCCAGATCTGTTGGCTGCTCGGAAGGTCAGCGCCCTGAGCCTGGGCACGTCGGCTGTGGGGTTGGCGAGGACCTTGGGCAGGGAGAGCGAGGCCTGGGGCTGGGCTGGGGGAGCATCTGGGAGACTGGGCTTGGGAAAGCCCCCTTCTAATAGAAGGGAAGCCCCTTCCCCCTCCTCCCCTCCCCCTCCCCCTGCTCCTCCCCCTCCCCTCCTTTTGCCAGGCATGGCCTGGGGGGTGGGGGGTGGGGTGGGGTGACCTCCTTCAGTTCAGATTGGCCCTGTAGGTGACAGTAGGCTTAGGAAGCAGTGTGGGTGTGGGGGGAGTCAGGAGGGGGTGATTTGACCTGGGGCAGAGGGCTGTGGAGGAGGGATTGGCTTATTCACTTTGTCCCCAAGGCCCGAGCCAGGAGTGGTGGGGGGTCTGAGAAACCTTCCTGAAGCTGTGGGCTCCTCCAGAGGGCCCTGGGCTGCGAGCTGGGGGGCACGGGGTGCCCTCGGACTCAGGCAGGAGGGTCGGCTGCTGCGGTGGAGAGGAGGTGCAGAAACCCCCGGGTTTCCCCCCAGCCCCCAGGCATCCGGCATCCTCTCTGATCCAGGTGGCGGCTCATATTGGGAGCGAGCACCATGAGGTCCTCTTCAGTTCGGAGGAGGGCATCCAGGCCCTGGACGAAGTCATCTTCAGCCTGGAGACGTATGACATCACAACTGTCCGAGCGTCCGTTGGTGAGACGGCTGCACAGAATAAGTGAATGGCTGTCAAAACCATGGGTGGCGGGCTGCCCCGGCCACGGAGTTCTGCCCCTGGGCCGCCTTGGCAGTTGGGTTGGCTATCCAGGGCAGGGCACCTCTGTCACCCCGGCAGCTGCCAGGTGCCCCCCAGAAGGCGCGTGGCCACAATTCTGTGGCTTGATTGGGGGCCGCTGGGATCCTCTCATGTGGGTGCTCATCAGCCGTCTGCTGGCTCAGGTTGTAGCCTGGCCAGGGGTGGAAGGTGGGGGGGCTGGCCCTCCAGCCACCCCGTGGTGCCCAAAGGCACAGGAGGCAAGGTCTCACAGAGGGGTGTGACTCAACTGGATGGAACGGAGCCCGAGTCTTTAACGATGGGAGGCTGTTAGGAAGGCCCTGACAGTGCAGCCCCGCAGTGCACATACACCACAACGAAGGTGGATGTGGGGATTGCCGTGAGTGAGCGCAGGGAGCAGGCTGACGTCCCCCCTGGGATGGGCCCTGGGCACAGGCTCTAGGGTGCAGCTGCGGCCCCGCCCCCCCCCCCAGGCGACCTGGTTCTCCTCTCTCTGCAGGCATGTATCTGGTTTCTAAGTACATCCGGAAGAACACGGACAGCGTGGTTGTCTTCTCCGGAGAAGGTTCTGATGAGCTCACTCAGGGTTATATTTATTTTCACCAGGTAAACCTACCTGTCCTAAGCCCTGCTCAGGACCCTTGGGTCAGCGTTTTGGCATAGGGGCGGGGGGACCAGACCCAGGATTTCATGAGTGTAGGAAACTCCTAGGTCAGGAAACTCCCTCTGCCAATGCAGGTCCGCACCCTCTGTGCCACTGAAAGACCTGGAATGTTGCCTGAAAGCACTGAGAGGTGCAGTGACTTGCCCAGGGTCACCTGGCCAGTAGGTATCCGGTAGGACTTGAACCCAGATCTCCCTGGGCTTGATCAGGCCACATAATTCCCTTCTTCAGGTTCAGGATGAGGGTGGAAAATCTGTCAGCTGGCTTGTGGCCTTATCTTGCCCTGGTGTGTGTGGTAATTGAGGGCTCCATGTTGTGGGAAAAAGAAAAGATGTCCGTGGCCCTCGGTGGCTGAGCACGGGGAGCCCCTGGTACACGAGGGCTCTCGCTGGGTCATCTGGATGTTCGCCCCTCGAGTCAAAAGGGCGTTTTCTGAAGGAGAAGGCGGTAGCAGGGCCGGCCCCTCGTGGGCAAGCGCTCACGTGTCTGGCGCCTCTGTGTTTGCTGGCCACAGGCGCCGTCCGCCGAGGACGCCCAGGAGGAGAGCGAGAGGCTTCTGAAGGAGCTCTATCTCTTTGACGTCCTGCGTGCCGACCGCACCACAGCCGCGCACGGGTAACCCACGCTGGGGAGGGCCGCGGCTCTGGGGTGAGAACAGACCAAACCCGCTGAACTGGGCAGAGCTCTGGGGCAGCCGGCCTTAGAAAGGCTGCCCCAGGCGCCGCCGCCGGGGGTCCGCACCTGCCAATGAGGGTCCCCTGTGGGAGGGGCTCCTGGGACACCAGAGGCCAGCGTCGGCAGAGCCCTCTGGCTGCTTGTAGGGATGACCAGCGTCAGGTAGCAATCAGACCTGAGCCCAAACCCATGTACCTCTGACTGACTCCCGGTACCGCCTCCTGGCCTGTCTGCCACACCTTCATCAAATCTCCTTTGGGAAGCAGTCAGGTTAAGTGACTTGCCCAGGGTCATGTAGCTAGTAAATGTCTGTGGCTGGATTTGAACTTGGGGCCCCCTGACTCCAGGGCCTGTGCTCTATCCATGAAGCCACCTAGCTGCTGCAGCTCATAGGTCTTAATGGCAAAACAGTTGTCCTGTAAAGTCCCTGCAGAAATGTGCTTGGGGACGGGGCTGCTCTTTTCCAGTGCCAGTAACGGGGGAGGTCTGGCTGTGTGCCTGGGCATGCAGGGATGGGAGGCCTTGGCTGGGTCAGTAGGAGAAGGCCAACCCTGAGAGGTTCTGGAGCCCTACTGTGTGCAAGACAAAAGGGAACCATTTCCTGCCTCAGGGGGCACCTGTGTCCTGGGGAGAGACAAGATACCTAGACAGACAGGACGAGAACGTGATGAATGCCCGGGCCATTAGTATTCTTACCCGAGTTGTTCCTCTGCCCTGGTGGAGGAGAGACCTGCCAGGAGGTTTCCCTGGCTGCTGGCGCCCTGCGTGCACACAGTAGGTGCCTCGTTCATGCTTTCAGCCTGCATGGCGTTCTCCACTGTGACTGCCACTTGTCCCCAGTTGCAGTTCAAGGCCAGGAACAGAGCCCACCTCCCAGATCCCCAGGGCAGGTGTTCTGTGTAAGCCCACTCAGGTGAACTGGAGTGGGTCAGGGACGGGAGGCTCTGTGCGGGCTGGGGTCCATTGACCTGCCCGCTCGTGCCACAGGCAGCCGCCGCCCTCCTTGGCCTTCTCCTCAGCAGAGGGCTGAGTACAGTCAGAGACTGATCAGTGGGGTCCCGGGAGGGCTCGGAGGCCGGTGGGGGTGGCGGAGCACCCTCATTCCCCACTTCCCCCTTCTCTCTCCAGCCTAGAGCTGCGGGTCCCATTTCTGGATCACAGATTTACCTCCTATTACCTGTCCCTGCCCCCGGAGCTCCGGATCCCAAAGGTACCTGACCACATGTGGCAGTGGACACCCCTTCCCCACCTGGGCCGGCTCTGGTCGGGGAGGACAGCTGTGCTCACCCAGCTTTTTCCAATCAGAACGGGGTTGAGAAACATCTTCTGAGAGAGGCGTTTCAGGACTCCAACCTGTTGCCCAAAGACATTCTCTGGCGGCCGAAGGAAGCCTTCAGTGATGGAATCACTTCTGTCAAGAAGTCCTGGTTCACCATCCTCCAGGAGCACATCGAGCATCAGGTACCCAGGGCCCTGCTTCCCTACTAGCCTGTGACCTTGACCTTCAAGAAAACAAAAGCCTTGCAATGTATTGGATATGGGGGAGGGTGTTCGTGTCAGGGAAGATGTGCAGCACTGTCCCAGGTTGGGGCGGGCTGCCAAGTCTTTGAGCAGAGGCAGGATGCCATGGGAGGCTGTGGATGTCTGAGGGGCCGGAATTCATTCAGCTCAATATCAGGCCTCCCAGTAGAATGGTCAGCTGGACCGAGAGCCCTGCCCGGGCAGTGGCAACGTTTGCCAGGCTTGCTTCTGATGGGCACACATGGGGCAGTGGGGAGTCAAGGGGAGACAGAACCAGGCAGGCCTGCAGGCGGGCAAGGGCAGTTTCACAGGGAAGGTGCTGGCTGGAAGGCTCTTACCTCCTGTGGGGAGGGAGTGGGCAGGAGGTGGGCCATGCCCCAGGCCATGCCTGCTGAGGCCCCGTGAGCTGGGGCTTCTCTCCAGGCCCCAGCAGCTCCTCCTGGGCTTGGCACCACACACAGGAACCACAGCTGTTGCCTCCAGGGAGGTCAGGCTTCTTTCCCATCTTCCTGAAGCCCTCAGTCAGTCCCCTTGCCTGTGACTCCACTTACCCTGGTAGGTCTCCAACTCCTTGCTGGAAAATGCTGCCAAAAGGTTCCCACTGAACACTCCCAAGACAAAGGAAGGCTACTACTACCGGCAGATATTTGAGAGGCACTACCCTGGCCGCGCAGACTGGCTGACGCACTACTGGATGCCCAAGTGGATCGAGGCTGCTGACCCGTCTGCCCGCACGCTGGCTCACTACAAGTCAGCCGCCAAGGAATAGCCCTTGTGCGTGCAAACGATCTGACGCTTTCTTCTTGGAGGCGGGTGGGGGCCAACACTCCATGGGTCTGTACAAATCCAGCCCAATAAAGTTTTCCGCCAGATGCCAAGCATCCCTTTTCTCAGTGTTCCTTCCTTTTGTATGGTCCTTTGCAGTGAGGACTTTGAAGGACATTTAATAGCGAATTTACAGCTGAGAAGGGTGTGACTGACAGCGTGGCCGCCCTCTGGGCAGTGGGGCGATGGGGCTTGTCCTGAGGAGGCTGAGCTGATTTTGTTTGGGACCTGAAGGGGCTGAAGAAGCTCGGCCCTCCAGCTAGCCACAGGGTTTGCTGATACCATCCAGAGCCCAGGGGGCCATGCGTGCACACAGGAAAGGATATGAGGATACATGTGCCAAGTCGCAGCTTTTCCTGATGGTCTCTGAGAGCTGAGCAGTCCAGGGGGTGGCTACAGAAAGCCTGAACCAGCCCCAGCTGTCACAGCTGTGCTTGGGTTGTGCTTATAGGGAGGGCAAAAACTTAAAAAAAATTATTCTGAACTTGGCAACTCCCAACAAATGAACAATCCCATTTGTGAGGAACAGGAAAATTGCATTGTATATGCAACCACAAATCTCTTTTTTAAAATTATTTTTTATTTTTAAAAATTTATTTATTTTTAGTTTTCCACATTCACTTCCATAAGCTTTTGAGTTTTAAATTTTCTCCCCCCCTCTCTCCCACCTCCCTTCCCAAGATGGCCTGCAATCTGATATAGGCTGTACATATTCATTCCTGTTGAACTTAGAACCAATAGGAACCACAAAAAAGAAGAAACAAAACAGAAGAAAAAAAAGCAAATAGTACGCTGCAACCCGCATTCAAACTCCATAGTTCTTTCTTTAATGTGAATAGCATTTTCCATCATGAGATTTCTGGAGATGTCTTCGATCCTTGCATTGCTGAGAAGAGCTGCGTCTATGTTATGTGCACAAGGTTTTCCTGGTTCTGCTCACTTCACTCAGTATCAGTCCATACAAGTCTTTCCAGGTTTTTCTGAAGCCTTCTTGCTCATCATTTCTTATAGTACAATAATAATCCATTACATTCATATACCACAACTTGTTCAGCCATTCCCCCAATTGATGGGACATCCCCCCAATTTCCAGTTCATTGCCACCACAGAAAGAGCTGCCACAAATATTTTTGGATATATGGGTTCTTTTCCAATTTTTATGATCTCTTTGGGATACAGCCCTAGAAGTGCTATTGCTGGGTCAAAGGGTATGCACATTTTTATTGCCTTTTGGGCATAGTTCTGAATTGCTCTCCAAAATGATTGGATCATTTCACAACTCCACCAACAATGCATTAGTGTTCCAATTTTCCCACATCTTCTCCAACATTTATCATTTTCTCGTTTTGTCATGTTGGCCATTCTGATAGGTGTGTTGTGGTATCTCAGTTGTTTTGATTTGCATTTCTCTAATCAATAGTGTTTTAGAGCCTTTTTTCATATGACTGTAAATAGCTTTAATTTCTTTATCTGAAAACTGCCTGTTCATATCCTTTAACCATTTATCAATTGGGGAATGACTTGAAACCACAAATCTCTTACAGTTTGTTTTTTTTAAGTATATAGTAAAATCAACATTTTCAAAGCTGACCTGCCTCTCCTGTGCTTCTCATGGCACTTCAATCTTCTATGCATTTAGAAATGCCTCAGTGACCCTCTTTTTATGTACCGCCCGCCCCCAACCTGTTCCCATGGGTTCTTTTTCACATACCCCAGTCAAGGGAAAGTAGACACATTTTGAACACACCCCTTAGGAATAGGCCCCACCATCAGGGTCTCATCGTCATTGCCTAACAGAGGATGACAAGCATGGAGGATGATTAGCTTAGAGAAGAGAAGGCTTGGGGCTTGAAGACATCCATGAGCCATGTTTGCCTGGGTATGGAGGGCAGCACTGGGAGCTGCAAAGGCAGATTTTGTCTTCACACTGTGCTAGGCACTGGGGACACAAAGTCAAAGATGGAAGGTAATCTCTGGGGGGGGGGGTCAGGAGGCAGGCAGGAAAGGACTGCAGAGGAAGGGATTTGTGCCCAGCTTTGCAGGAAGCCAAGGAAACTAGAGGGCAGAGGTGAGGGGGAGGGCATTCCTTCCCTGCATGGAGGCCAGCCTATGCAAAGGCACTGAGGTGGGAGATGGAATAGCCTATGCATAGAACAAGAAAGCTTCTCCATATGTTTGTTGATTTTCATTGTATGTCATATAGTTATAGGCAGAGAGCTGGTGCAATGGGAGAGCCCTGGACCTACAGTCAAGAAGATCCAAGTTCCAATCCTGCCTCAGGCATTTACTAGCTGGGTGATCCTGGGCAAGTCACTTAAGCTCTGCCTGCCTCAGTTTCCTCATCTATAAAATGGAGATAATAATAGCATCTACATCCCAGGTCTGTTGGGAGCCTCAAATGAGTATCTGGACATGTAAACCTCAAAACGCCAGATGGAGGTCGGCAATTGGCTCCCATGGCTCTTAAGGGTGCAGAAGGTGGCCAGCCCACGGGCCATACCCACTATACCTCTATCCCATGCCCTGTGTTTGGTGTGCTCTGTGTGCGGAGGCCATGCCGTATGGACTTCATTCCTGAAGAATCCCACTTGATATCAGTAGCGCTGTGCATGGTGCTATATAGGGGGTAGGCCCAGCCTGGAAATTGAACGTCTGCTGGTGACCCATGAGCCTGGTGCCTCATCCAAATTTCTTCATTTAAGCCGTCAGTGAAAAATCCTATTCTATATTATTGTGCTTTAAGAAATGACAAGCAGGATGATTTCAGAAAAACCTGGAAAGACTTACATGAACTGATGCAGAATGAAGCGAACAGAACCAGGAGATACATAGTAACAGCAATAGTGTTCAATGAAGAATTGTGAATGACTTAGCTGTTCTCAGCTCTACAGCGATCCAAGGCAATCTCAAAAGACTCTGGATGAGGAGGACTGAATGCGTCCAGAGAAGAAGCCGATACAGGCTGAGTGCAGGCTGAAGCGGGCTGTTGGTCACTCTTCCCCCCTTTTTTTTTCTTTTATTTGAGTCTTCTTACACAAGAAGACTGATATGGAAATGTTTTATACAATTGCTCACGTTTAACCTATATCTGTTCACCGACTCAGGGGGGGAGGAGGGAAGGAGGAATAGAATACTCAAACTTTACATGAAAATATTTTCTAAAAGTTCAAGAAAAAAAAAAAGAAATTAGGAAAATCCCATTCTCTGCCTGGCTGGCGGTCTTGTGCATTCTCCTCCACGTACCCGAGGAGGAGTTACCGGAGCAGGAGCATCGGGGAGCTGGCCTTGGGCGTTGGGAGGACTCCTGCCCTCTATGGCCCATGGAGGTGGACTTGATTTGTAGAGAGGCCCTGGATCCGCCGCGAACTCCAATGACTTACGGTGCCCAGGGATGGAACGAATCCCACAGAACCCCCAGGGGCACCGGTAACTCCCTCGAGCACACGGGCCTCCTCGAGGCCCCCCCAAGGCTTAGGTGTGCGGAATGCGCAGCTCCCTCCTCGGCACCCAAGGCTACCCGGAGCCACGTCCCGACCTCATCGCCCTGAGAGGGAAAAAGCACAGGCGTGTTTCGTGGGCGGTCACCCGCGAGTCCACAGAGTCAAGGCCGAGATTTGAGGCGCAATGGTCCTGTCACCCCCTCCCATCCTGACGAGTCCCACCAGACTGTCCTGGCCATGAGATCATCGTTCCTCTGACGACGCTGAGGGAGTTTGTAAGCTGCTTCAGGAAGGAAGCAGCGGTGTAGACCTCTGCCATCCGATCCCCGTTTTCACTTGGGGAGGCTGGGCAGAGCTCCCCCCTCGCGGTCCTTTCCCCGCTTTCCAGATGGAACCCTCCTTTGTCACGAGGAACACAGCTCCGCAAAAATTCTCAGCGCAGTGACTGCATCCGACAATGTATGCAGCATTGTGACCCAGTGGCCCCCACTTCTGGGCCGCCAGGGGGGAGGTGGGCGCCGTTGTCCACCGGCTTCTTCAGCTTCTCAGCGTTTGACTGCGTTTTAACGATGTTGTCACCGAAGCCCCGATTATGCTGGGGCTGCTCGCTCTCTGGGTTCTGCCTGCTCCATCGCGCACCAGGTCACACAGCGCCTCCTGCTCTTATCTGAATTCCTCACGTTCATTGTTGCTGATTGCACGAGAAGGGTCCCTCACACTCACGTACTGTAGGACGTGTTCGTCCAGTGATTTCTTCACCGTGTTCACGTATCTGAGACGAAGAGAAGGTTCCGATATTTCCTCAGGTGTTCCACAAACACTTGTTGAAGGCTGGCTCTGCCCAAGACACTGCTCCAGACTGGGGGCACAAAGACAGAAACTGACAGCCCTCCCTGCCCTCCAGGTGCTTCCCTTCTACTCCCGATGATCCAAAATGATCGGTGTCCCCCAGAGTGCACTTGTCTGTGGAACATGCTCACACACAAGCACCTGCACGTGCACACACATGCATGCACACACTGGC